AGAGAAGCGATCGTTACAAACGAAACTGCGCATGATGGATGATTTGCAGCGGCAGCTAGGAGAAGCTGAGCTGAGGAAGCAGTTCCTGGAAGAGGAGCGCGACTCTTGGACCTCGTATCTCGAGGCGGAAGCCGAAACACATGGAGGGATTCAATTCGAGACACCTGCGGATCTTGCGAGAGCTTTCATTCAAGAGAGGATAGAACGGACTGACCTGTTGAATCGATTGGGCGAAATCAAACCTGAATTATCCGTCAAGGAGGCCACAATACAAGCACTTGAGGAAGAGAAGGCGAAGCTACAAGTGGAGATACAACAGCTCAAGACCACGGGCGCCGCTAGTGCAGCGAATTCCGGCGATGCAAAGGCGCGAGCGCGACTAGAACGGCAGAAGGCACTGGCGACAAAGGAGGTCGAATTTCTGCGCGCTCAAGTCAAGGCATTTGATGATGAAGAGCGCGAGATGCAGCCAGAGTCATTCGACGCTGCAAAGTCGGAGCGGATAAAAGAGCTCGAAGATCTCGTCGACCAATACCGCAAAGAACTAGACGCTCTACAGAAAGAGTTCAACAGCCTCGAGAAGCCAGCATCTGCCACAACAGGCCAAAAACGCCCCCTAGATACCGACAACGAAAACGAGGAACGCATTGGCGAACTACGTCGCAAAAACCGCCAACTCCAAGATGATCTCAACGCCCTGCAAAAGCGCACGAAGCTCATAGAATCTGAATACAAAGCCCAACACTCTCAGCTTAAGAAGCTTAAAGAATCATCCCGCGTCCGCGTCTTAGAACTAAAGTCCAACCCCACCGCCGACGCAGAAGCCCTCAAACTGAGCACCGTGCGCCACTTGCGCGAAGCCAACGCACAACTCCTCTCCCAACTCGAATCACACAACCCGCCACCAACGAGCGTCCCAGCCGCAACCCTCGAAGCCGCGCACGACGAACTCGAAGAACTAAAAGCCCAACTTCACTCCTCCACCAAGAAAATCACCCGTCTCAAACAAATCTGGACGGCGAAATCGCTTGAGTTTCGCGAAGCTGTTGCATCGATTCTTGGGTGGAAACTCGATTTCATGCCAAATGGGCGGGTCAAAGTGACTAGTATGTTTAAGCCTGCAGATGACGAGGGCGAGAACAGCATTGTGTTTGATGGGGAGAATGGGACGATGAAGGTGAGTGGTGGGGAACAGAGTGTATTTGCGGGGGAGATAAGGGATCAGATTGTATATTGGGTGGAGGGGAGGAAGGAAATTCCTTGTTTCTTGTCGGCGTTGACGTTGGAGTTTTGGGAGAGGGGGCAGGGGGGGATGACGATGAATGGGTGAGGGAATCTACCTGGTTGTTGATGTGGTTGTATGATATGACGTGGACTTTGTGTGGATATGATTGAGGTGTGGCTTTTTGAAGGGTTGTATGTATGGCTTCATCTAATCGATGTGTCTGCAGAAAAGCAGCCAATACACTTTCCATACTCCGTTACTATTCCGTCGAACCACTACCCTTCCCCTCCTTTTCCTCCCTCAAAACATCCAACACCCTTCTAGTAACCCTATCCCTCTCCCCCGTATCAACAACCCCATACGCCTCCCTCGCCTGCGCAAACACTTCCCCCTCCCACCCCCCACCAACCCTCACCCTGCCCCCATCATCCCAGCACCCCTGCACCGTCCCCCCAATATTCGCAAAAAAAGCTTCCAACCCCCCCTCGCCACCCCCAGCACTATAACTCTTGAACGGCCCCGCAACCGCCCACCTCGGCCCCATACTAGCCTCTACAATCTCATCTACCTCCCTCACACTCACCACACCCTGATCCACGAGATGAATCGCCTCGCGCAGCAACGCAAACGCAAGACGGTTTGCTACGAAGCCTGTTGTTTCTTTTTTAACATGGATGGGGACTCTTCCCCTCTTAGTCCAGAAGTCCAGCGTAAGCGATATTACAGCGGGGGATGTGGCAGGTGAGGGTACGAGTTCGAGGAGAGGCATAATGTGTGGTGGGTTGTAGGGGTGTACGACTAGGAGGCGGGATTTGTTGTGCATGGTTTTGGACTGGAGGGATGCGGGGATGCCGGAGGTGGAGGACCAGAGGAGTGCGGGTTTGGGGGCGTGGGATTCGATGGTTGACCAGAGGGTTTGTTTGAAGGGGAGGTTTTCCGGGCCGGATTCTTGGATTATGTGGGCGGTTTGGACGGCGGTTTGGAGGGAGGTCGCGATGTTTATGGCGGAGATGTCGGGTACGGTGGCAGTAATAGTTGTGAGGAAGAATTTGGGTAGGTTTTCGAGGATGTATTGTTTGAGGTTTGGTCGGGTGTCGTAGATTGTGAGTTGGGAGGGGTGAGAGAGATGTGTGAGGTGAAAGGCGGCGAAGGAGAGACCGATTGTGCCAGTGCCGATCAGGGTTATTTTAAGATCTTTGGGATCTGTAGACATGGTAGTTGTGGATGATATCTCTTGTGTTCCTTCAATCTTTAGATGCTCCGCCTGCAGATGTATCAAGTGGACTGACTATACCGAGTACGTCAGCAAAGACCTATAAGAAGGGGAGATGGGGACCAAGAAGAATGATACTCCGGCTACGAACATGAGTTGATAAGATGATGTTGTATACCTGAGTTGACGCTCTCGCATGCCCAATGGTAAATCGAGCCGTGGAGACGTCAGATCGCACATTAGCTTCAACCCTTTTGGGAGTGATTTCGGTAGCGCTCAAACCCCGCCTTCAAGCTCCACGCGAGGCGCCCTTGGCCGTTAAGCCCGCTCGTAATCGAGTCGAGCATCGCGAATCCTATATATGTGAGGCTACCGAGCAGGAATGATGGGGTTCTCGAATTTGCAATCGTGGAATTGTCCCTTCCACACGCGTCACACCGTGACCAAGTCAACATCACCACACGCGACTTTGGCTGAGCATATTAGCTTTAATCTGTGTTCTAGCATTGGTGGCGATATCATTCTGATCAGCTTATTTCCGAGATTGCACTCTGGCGCTCGTCGAGATGGTGATTTTCAAGTCAAGACAGCCGCCGATTGATTGTACAGTCCCAGATGCGCCTTCCTAACTAAATCCCCTCGACTAACATCGGCTAGTACCAACGGACCTCACTGACTGGGACTGGCTATTCAACTCTTCGTATTCACCCATCAACAACTATTCCCCGGACGAGCTCGCGGGATTCCAAAATGCGTTGACGAAAGAGCGCGTGAACTGGGCAGATGTCAAAAAGTACTCCACCTACATCTCGACAGCACTGGTCAAAAAGTTCGGACTCAAAGAAGGCGAGACGGTGGCGCTGTTCAGCCAGAATACAGTCTGGTACCCAGTCGCCATGTTTGCAGGCTTGAGAGCTGGTGCAAAGATTAGCGGTGCATCGCCAGCGTACAATATCGAAGAGATGACGTTTGCGCTCAAAACGGCCGATGCGAAATTCCTCATGACTACGCCGGGTAGTATGGAGATTGCATCCGCGAGCGCGAAGGCTGCAGGACTTCCGCAATCAAATGTCTTCCTACTTGAAGGCGAGCTCCCCGGTTATACGACAGTCCAGGACCTGATCCGCGCGGGAGAGTCGTATGGAGAGTCTGGCCAAGCACCAGCGTTCAAGCTACCACCTAGTAAGAAGAACAGGGACGTCTGTGGGTTCTTATCATTTTCGAGCGGTACTACTGGACTCCCAAAAGCAGTGATGATCTCCCATCAAAACGTTATTGCGCAGTGTCTCCAAGTCCAACAGATCACGCCGGTGACCCAGAAGAAGATCATGGCTGTCCTGCCATTATTCCACATTACAGGCCTCGTTCATCAAATGCACCTACCAGTTCTACTGAACGCCGAGGTAGTAATGCTACCACAGTTTACCATGGAAGGGATGCTCAACGTGATTGTAGAGTACAAGCTCGCAGAACTGCTCCTGGTACCACCAATTCTCATCAGATTGGTCCGCGATCCCCTCGTCGACCAGTACGACCTCAGCCATGTCACTCGCTTCTCTTCAGGTGCTGCTCCACTGTCTGAAGAGATCATCCAGCAGCTTCAGAAGAGGTTCCCTCAAACAGGCTTCAAACAGGGTTACGGTATGACAGAGTCGTGCAGCTGTATCACCGCGCATCCGCCAGAGAAGTACTCGTACAAGTATGCGCACTCTGGTGGCGCCATTGTGGCGTCTACAGAAGTCAAGATCATCAAGGACGATGGGACCGAAGGCGACGTTGGTGAAGATGGGGAAGTGCTTGCGCGCGGCCCACAAGTAGTCATGGGCTATCTGGGAAATGAGAAAGCCACGCGAGAGACTTTTGATGCAGATGGCTTCCTGCACACTGGCGATCGCGGCAAAATTGACGAAGAAGGCATGATACACATTACAGATCGCATCAAGGAACTCATCAAAGTCAAAGGTATCGGTGTTGCGCCCGCTGAACTCGAAGACCTACTTCTCGGTCATCCGAAAGTAGACGACGTCGCTGTGCTCAGCGTCAAAGACGATTACTCTGGGGAGTTGCCAAAGGCGTACATTGTGCTTAAGCCTGGCTTGAAGGAGGACTCGTCGATTGGAAGGGATATCATTGCATTTGTCAAGGAGAAGAAAGTGAGGTACAAGTGGATTAAAGAGGTCGAATTCATAAATGAGATCCCAAAGAGCCCGTCGGGAAAGATTCTGAGGCGAGTGTTGAGGGACAAGGAAAAGGCCGGGAAGTTTGGTACAGTGATTCGGGATGAGGCTAGGGCTAAATTGTAGGATTAAGAATGTTTTGGAAATCTTCTGTAGAAGTAGTATTTTGTTGTACCTTTTTCTATGATGTGGGTGGTTCTCGGACGGCACAATGACGTTTTGCGGACATGGAAATTGTTGCATGTCGGCAAATGTACGTAATTTTCGTGTTCTTCTCCACATGTGAGCCTTCGCATTACCCCGCGCTTATGCACCTTCAAGATTTTCAACGATATATTGACATATCTTGGAGGATTCCTCATCAAAAGCTCAAAAATCCTTTGGCGGTTTTGTAGTGTAGCGGTTATCACTCCAGATTCTGACATTCTCAGAGCTTTCTGGTAACCCCGGTTCGATTCCGGGCAAGACCTTTCTCTTGACACAGAAGTTTCTTTTTGCGCACGGGCGCATTCTACGCTCTGTGGACTCTGCACAGTCCTAAACAACATGATTTTTTTTGGCATTAACTAATATCATGTAACGAATAGCCGCGCTTAGGATTGATGCGCGAAAACTTAATGGCAGATATAACAATCATCTATAGTGGCTACAAGGTTGCATCTGTTACTTATTCAACCTTCAGCGCATCCTTTGTTCTGTTCCTCTATGCGCTCAGAAATAGAATGTTTTCTTTGAAAAGGCTCTATCTATGTGCCATGGCGCAGGGTGTACGGATACTTTCAGAAGGGGAGCGTGTGTCGCTGCCTTTCTTCTGCAACTTATCAGGAGCGGCGACACTACCTCAAACATTTAATTACTTTCTCTAGTATATGTTCCTATCCATGGTAGATCCAAGGCTCTTCCTATGACGACGAACGAATGCTAGGGTTTCAACTCACTAGGGAATACCTATATGATACGGTCACTTCTTATGCTTAATAAAATCCCTACAAGAGATCTTACAGTCACTTTTTGTGTTTGTGCAAGGCATGAAGCAAGAAGCAATGTATGCACATGAATATCAAGATTAGCTAATCTGAAAAGTCTAACAATAATTGACATATGCTTGCGTTGTGGAAATTTCGAGTTTGTGGCTCCATGAAAACCTTGTGTTTCTTGACCAGAATCAGTTCTGTAACCTTTAAAGATAGTAATTATATATGCACGCAAGCTCTCAGAGTAAGCCTTCCTGTTCTGGGTGATGTAAAAGATACGCGATGGTATGTTTTAGACTAAATCCTGTCTCGCGACACCGTAACTTCAGCTGCCTTTAACAGCATTCACCACAGTAACATCCTCTCCTTACTATCGCAACCATCCATTCTCTACGCACTAAATCTACAAAGCCCATACTGTTAAACCATCTCTCATTCCAAAAGAAAAATCCGCCTATGCAAAAGAATCATGTTCCTCACTGCGCGCGCCGCCACTTTCTTTACGTCTGCAACCCCTTCCCCTCCCTCCCCTCTCCCCAGAGAGCCACAGGAGCAAAAAAGAAGAGAGAATCGAACTCCCAACGGGAACCAATACAGGTAATGATTCAGCCGAGGTTTGAACTCGGGACCTTCAGTGTTTAAGAATTCCAGAGGAATGTTAGACTGACGTGATAACCAACTACACCACCGAACCTGTTGATTGATGGTGGCATTGAAATTATATCGGTACATATTGTAGTTAATGGCGCGTACACATTATTAACAGAGACTCCTTGATATGCCGTGACAACTGCAAACGTAGCAAAGGTTCATCCATTCCGACAAGAGTGGGTGCGGGATCCGCCGGCGTTGAAAAATCTGACAATAGTAAGCCGAACAAGGTATGGTGGCGACAACACCCGTCGGCCCTATCATGTCAACGACTACAACATGGGATTCATAACACATTAAAAAGGTACGATAAGGTTCTCATGTATCATGATGGTATTGGCAATTTAAACAACATGTGGCCGTAGCCTCCACCCTGCCCCCAATTTCTGCATCTGTACATCGATCGATGCCTGACCTCTCCCTACCCAGGAGAAACCCCGTGGACCTGGGTAGTCGTTCTCCCTGCTATAAGGGAAGATTTGTAATTGTACTCACACGAGATACATCTGTCCACACCAACCCATAATTACTGCACCAGTATCGATAAGAACAATGTAACCAATGTGAAGAAAAATCAATCGTACGAGAGACTTGAATGGACGAGGAAACAAAAAATGCTGCCCAGCCACACTATAAGTGCTGACCAGCAAGCGAGTGATAACATTGGGGGTATCGAAAAGCGCACAGCTGCGAAAAGCTGGCGGAAGACAAGAAGATTATAAATACAATGGTATATATGTGTGGATATGGTGCACTTGCGCGCGACCGCTTCTAGCCTCGTGATGGGAGGCCCCTAAGGTGATGTCGAGCGAGCGATGGGGAATAGGACATTGATAAACAAGATACAAAGCAAAGAGATTTGGTGCAACATCATGCCATTGCAGTGGGCACATGTCATCGTGCGTCGTGACTGCAATCACTTTTGCGCTAGATTCAACAACAGAGGAGAGTGAGTCGCAGTGGGCAAAAGGGGTGGTAAAGAGTCCAAAGACAGTGAACGAGCAAAGCATGCGCGAAGCAGAGCTTGGCCGTTGCTCGTCAAACATGAACAAGTCGTAAAGCTGTGTGGTTCCATCTAGAAGCCACGGAAGGGATCGCCGCCGGCGTCGAAGTCTTCAAACAGGCCACCGGATCGGTTGGATGGGTCTCTGGTGCTAGCACTCCATTGACTGCTACCTCGGCGGCGGGCCATCCGTGTCCTCGCAGTGTGCCCGCTCAATTTGTTCTGGTCCACAAGAGCGTTGTCGATACCTGCGACGAAAGCCTCCATGCGGACTGTGCCCATGGTGTCGAAGAAATGCCGGCGCGTTGACGTACTGGCTTCTGAGGTCCTCGAGCTAATGGCACCACTGTTGGGGTTATACACGGTAGACGGCACCGATGGTGGGACACCAGCACTGTACATGTCGGATGATCCGTTCGAGTAAACCGATGGGACATGCTGGTGAGAGAAGCTCCGGAAGGGTACATTGGGAGGTGGAGCACTTGGGCCGGTAGAGCTTCGCTTCCTGCCATGCTGTGGTCCACGAGGGATTGTCGGAGGGCTGGCAGCGTCAGGAACAGGCCTGTCGAACCCGGCGAGCGAGGGTAGACTAGGCACGGGTTCGTTCTGGGCAGCATATCGCGCCATGACAGGATTTGCGCGTCCCTTAGCAAGACGTACTGAGTCTTGCACGCGACTTCTGCGAAGAGTCGCACCCTGACTGCGCTGTAGGGTTTCATCCACAGGGGGCGGCACCGGAGGCATAGCTTCGAGATCGGGCATTGGAGAGCTTGAGTGAGCTAAGAAAGATAGCGCAGTCAGCCACAGGTAGTGACGCTCGCGTGAAGTTGTCGTAAACTTCAGTGCTCGAGCGGGTGTAAGGATCAGGATGGATCGGTTGAACAGGGTTTCGTTCTTAGGCGCAGGGCAAGTGTCGGCCACGTCCAGGACTGACTGGATAACGACTAGGAGAATGTCAGCTTAGAAATCAGGCAAACTTCAGAGAGGACTTACGTTTGCGACCACTCTTACCCATAAGTGCAGATCCAGAAGTCGGCTGCTTGCTACTCCACAGAATTGCCCTTTCGTATGGAGAAATCCATACCCAGCGTTTGTGTCGTACGCCGTGATTAGCCAGCGAGGCTTCCTCTGCGGCGCGACTCACATCCACGGGTGTATCAGGACCACCAAAAGTCTTCCTCTTTCGAACGTATTTCCACATGAATTCTCCAATCATGGAAGCAGCGATGGCATCGACTACGCTGGTCTGATTCACGGAGCTGTTGATCGAGCCATTGGCTGTATACGCGGTGGCATTTGACAACTGATGGCGGTGATTGAAACCCCTGGCGCTGACGATGTCGCTCGGTAGAGGAGGAATCGACGATGTGTCCGCAATGCTTGGGGTAGCAGGCAGTGTCGGAGACCTGCTGCGAGAGCGACTCTTCACTACAGGAGCTGCTGATCGAACCTTCCGCAAACTATCTTTGCGCTGATGGTTCACGCCGTACGGACGTCGGCCGGCGTAAGAGCCGCTGTTACGAGGGGTAGGGCTTTGGGAGCCTTCGCTCTTACTGATAGGCTTACGTGAACTTGAGCGCATGGGTACCGGAAAAGGTGGCTTGGGTACAAGACCACTGGAAGCCACGCTTCCAAAACTAGGGCTTCGGGAGCGTGAATGTGCTGCAGTACCATTCTGGATCATAACTGATCTTCGGATGCTCGGCTGGCGGGTAATGGTAGTACGTGTAGCTTTACCGACCTTGGCTGGTCTCTCCATGGAGCTGCGCTTAGATGCCAGCGAGTCCTCGGAGGGTCGGGGCTGAGGCGATGTTTCCTTGTCTTCTGGAACGGGCGTGGGCGGGTTGACTGGACGTCCACTTTTGGCGTTGCGTGAAGACAGCATTGAACTGGAGTACTTGGGCACGCTATAGTCGTCGTCACTGTTCTCGGCGAAATCATCGTCTTCTTCGTCAGAAGAAGGCCCGTCAAATCCGGCAAACAAGCTACTTGTCCGGAATGGCCGACTGAGTATATCGGGCTGATGGAATCGAGACAATGGTCCATTGTCGTTGTTACCTGGGTAGCGATTCTCTATCTTCCTATCTGCCGCATTCTCAAGTCGTGTAATGAGATCTTGTCGAGCCGTCGATCTGATGGCAGGAGACTCAGTATGATTCGATCGGGGCTCTTTCTGGAGACCTTGTATAGACCCGTCACTGATTTGTTTTCCGTCTGGAGTGCCAGGCTTGGACGAAATTGACGAAGGGAGCAGATGAGACGGAAGCTTCACAGGACGCTGATCAATTCGTATCGGTTCTGTCTGCATGCCGTGGGAGCGCATTGGCGCTGCAAGGTCCCCTGTTGTCTGTGTCGAGATGGTCTTAGTACCTGGAGGAAGAATGGGCTCTTTGGGTGAAGAAGGAGCTGATGAAGGAGCGTGTATTGCGATCGATGGAATCGTGATTACCGGAGGTGGCGACGCTCGTTTATTCATTGGAGTTGGTTCCTTGGGCTCCTCTGGTAGGTCCGTTTGCGTTGAGATTGATACGACCTGTGTCGGTGTAGTAGGAGAATATGGTGGCTGATCCATGGACACAGCGATCTTCGGCGTAGCTGGGGGGCTCAGAGGCTCAACTGTTTGTACAGAGCTGGATGTCATGGTAGAGGATACGAGGCTAATACTGAGTGATGGGGTAGTAATCGGCGAGATGGATGTACGCTTTCGACTTTGGTTTGCCTCGATTTCGGCAGCCGTTGCAGTGATGTCATTTGGCTTCAACTGAACAGGACTTGCGCTCGTCTGTGAAGCAGCTTCGATCATTGAAGGACGAGTAGGGGATGGAGGTGGAGACGGTTGCACACCAGTGTCCACGTAGATAGGTCGAGTGGGAGGGAAAACCAAGGTGATGTCTCGGGGCGTGAGTGTAATCGACGAGTGACCTGTCTCATACGAGGCCTTGCGCGGCTCGCTATCCTCAAGAGACTGGTCTTTGGCAGGCTGTTGATTATCGAAGCTTAAGCCTAGTATCCGTTTAGCTTTGTCGTCAGGATTCATCAATGATTGACGCGATTCAAGTGCCCTTCGTGCACGCATCTCATTCTCGGGGAAATCATCAGAATCCAGCTCCAGTTCTCCCAGATCTTCCTCCTCCTCATCGAAGATGAGCTCATCGGCCAAGCTCAAACCATTTGATCGGCCATGTCCGTCAGACAACAACGACATACGGTAATTGCGCCCGATACTGCGGTAGCTGCTGTTGCTACGATTTCTTGAATGTCGTCCAATGCGCGTAGACGACCTACGCTGCGGTGACGAGCGTATGCTAGCGGTGTCGCTCTCTGCACCAATAATGCTCTCGCGTATCGTATCCTCGCCTTCACTTTCGTTCCCAGCCTCTTCATGGGCAGCTTCATGCATGGCGATTTCATCCAGGAGCATCTTCAGACGGGATTCCGATAGATGAACTCGTCGCTCCAGCGTCTGTTTCTCCCCTGCCCACATCTCCTTCTCGCGCGCCCACATATCATGGACCCTTGTTGAATCATCATCTTGGCTGCGCGACTTCTTCTGAGCCTGTTCAAGTTTCTCTTTCAGATCTACGATGGATTCTTTGTGCTTGTCTCTCTCTCCAGCAATTTCTTCCAACGCAGCTAGGGTTTCATTTTCGAAGTGCTGAAGCTGACGCTTGATTGCTTTTCCCTCCTTATTTGAAGCCGACAACTCCTTAACGAGCGAATCATTGTCTACTCGTACCGTGTACAGGTTTGTTTCCAGATCTTCGATGAATTTGTGCTTCGAGTCTAGTTCTCGACGAAGGTTGAGGATCTCTGAAACCAGATTGGCATGCAAGGTAGGAGTGAATCGACGTGGATCAAGGATTGATATGTTCTCGTCATTGGCGGCATCTTCGGCACCGTTACGTGGGTCGGGTGGTAGTGGAGCTGGCGAACTGGGAGTCTCGCTTCCTGGGGTATTATGTCGTGAAGCACGTCGGGACATCGACTCATATGGTGTTCCCGCTGGAGACGGTAGCGGTTGGCTGGTTATGAAAGCCTCG